AAAAAAAAAAAAAGGACAACGGCGAAGCAGAGAGGCATCGTGAGTCGTGGTCATCAAATTAAGCCCTATGGGGAGACAGAGGCGAGGCCTTCACACCGCTTGCATTGGCCGCGCCGCATAAAGCTGCCGACACCTGATCAACGACGCGAAATCGAATAAACTTGGAAAGGCTCAGGAACCGGGATGCATGGGATATGGGCACGAGTGCAATGCCGTGCTTTGTGTCTGGCGCGCCTACTCGGTGAGATGTGAGATGATAGCGGATGGCCCCGTCACTGCACAACACCCCGCGATTCATGCCGCGGGAGAGGAGGATTCAAAGGAGGATAATGTGTATGTCTGCAAACAGCCCGCACGTACGCTTTCCCTTGTATCTCTCGGCCAGAACCACGGTTCATCCTGAGGACCGGAGGACAGGACGGACGGGGCTTACCGATTGAGCATCATATCGATCGGTCTGGAAGAGCTCTATGCCAAAGCTTTCTCTCCATTATTCATTACCTGATTCCATCACATCACATTCCCGTACGCGCGCCTCGCAGCGCTGACCAAAGAACCTTCCGCGACAAAAGTACCGTGCGTATGCGAATGTCAGTCTTTCTGTGGACTGGAGACGTTCTTGACCTCATGCTCCCATGCATACCTTTCCCCATCCTGTTCTCGCCCCATCCGGACACACGCACACACACACACTCGCACCCGTACTCGTGCCGTCGTGGTGTGCGAAGCGCATATCTTAGCAAGAGGCGTATGCTCTTGGATGGATGGATGCGGTTTCACCTACATACTGAGGTCGTACATCCCACATTCCACATCCCACACACCCCTTCGAGACAGATTCTGCGAGTCTGCAAGGTCCAACACATACGGCTGCCCACGTGCATACTGCAGTGAGGTAGCTAAGGTCGTCTTCGGTAAGAATACAGTCAGATGAAGCGCTGTAATTCTCCGTGCGGCGCCCGCCGAACGACACGCAGCATGGACGGAACTCTACGGATTATGCAGTGAGTGCCGAATTAGGAAATCTTTACTGACCATTTGGATCTGGATCTCCAACGATAGCTTAATCGTGAATGTGATACACTACTATCAGGAATCAAAAAAAGCAAGTATCAAAAAGCAAAAAAAAGAAGCTTTAGTAAGCAGTAGTGCAGACGGGAACGGGTCGGAAGGAGGGCTCGGCGCGCAAGATGCAGTCGTTCGAATCTCTACTGTTCTCGGGCAGGATCTGCTTCTCTTTTCCCTTCTAATTCCCCTCCCCCTCCCCAACGAAAAGAAAGTTGAAATTAAACGCGAAACAGAAAAGACCAATATCTCGTTGTGCGTGTCAGTCATACTTTTCCACGTCATTTGGTTGTTGATTTTTGCGTCATGATGATGATGCTGATGATGATGATGATGATGCTGAGTGCGTTGAGCATAAATTAGTGTTAGCTATCCTTAGTCGGAATAAGCTCTCTCAGCATTTCCCCCCCGTCACCCATCCCGCAAGTAGTTCCTGCGTCGAGAGAGGAGGGCAAGGTAAGTAAGACAGCCGAACGAAGCGGAGCGGAGCGGAACAGAGGGACGGCACGCGCGCACGAGCCTTGTCTATAACGCATGTCTGAGATATAGACCCGAAGTTTTTGTGCAAATCTTGTCTCTAGATGAGGAAAGAATAATGGGAAAAAAAATGCATGCCCGGCACCACTGACGACCTTGATAGACAACAGTCTAGACACCACTGGGATTTCAATTTCGCGATGGGAAGAAAAAATATCGAAAGTTTAATTCTGAGATAATAAAGCCAAGGTACCTAGGTACGCAGCGATCAGACATACATAGATAGATAGATAGATAGATATTGAAGTGAGCGTTTTTGAGCGCACGAGACCAAAACGAGTCATTGGATCTGGATCGAGATCTAAAAGCTGGGGTTGGTTGAATCATGACTCGTTTTTCGTCACTTTTGCGATTTGGGATTTTGGATTTGAGTTTTTGAATATTATTTTCTTTTTCTTTCTCTCGATTTCGATTTTGTCTTGCTTGCTTGCTTGCTTGCTTGCTTGCTTGCTTGCTTTGCACCTTCCCTGGAAGGGCGGCGATGAGAACTGAGAGAGAAAGGGGAGGAAGAAAAATGGAGGAGAGTGAGGAGAGATGTCTTTGTGGTTGCTCTGCTCGAGAATCTCCTTATTAGCCCGGGATGAATGATGCATGTAGATGGGGAACAATCTATATAATCGAAATTGAGATCGAATAAGTTATCATCTCTAATCCCACTTATATCTGCCTGCTATCTCCAAGCTCTTCTCTTCTTCTCTTCTCTTGTCACCTCATCTAGAATCTGGACTCCTCCGCACTCCGCAGTTCGATTTATTCTAGAGCTATCATATTGCATTACATTACATTATTAGATTTCATATTCCAGATTTTATGAGTGATCTTGTATACTATATTCGTTCGAGGACTTTCTTTCTTTCATGTTCATTGATTGTGCTATGCTTCGAGTCCTGGAACCCGATCTTTAGTAAATTCACATCTTTTTTTTTCCTGGACCTTCGAGGTAGTCCTCGATCTAGCATCCTACCTATATCAATCACATCATGGTGGTGAACTATCGAACTATCGAACTATTTAAAATTTTCTTAAAAAACTTATATTCCTCTGCCTGCTTTTGATCCCTTAATTAAATAAACCACAGGACATTTCAGTGAGTAATCGGATCAAGAGCATCTCCTTTCACTAATGGGGATCATTTACTGCAATTTTCATGGGTAGCTGGATGGGTTTTTTGCTTTCAGTTTGAGTTTTTTTTTGGGGGGGGGTGGGGTT